GAGTGAGCTCAGGAGGTGAAGAGATTGTTTCTTGCAGCATATTCTGAAATTCCCAAACTCCCTGTTTTGGACCAAGGCTGATAGCAGTGATTGATTGTGTGAGTTGATTTTAACACATCCACAGGGTCATCCAGTGAACAGATTGGTTTGGCTCGTCTGCCTCTGTACCTGAGGGAGGGATGCAGGTACATGGGGTAATTTTTCAAATCTGTTAGGAGCCGTTTGCGTGAGACTTCTGAGTGGTGAGAATGAACAGCCTGATCTACAGCGCGTGTGAAGCAGTGACCTGCTGAGGTGTGGGGACCCTGGGTGCACCTTTGCTGCCCTGAGGCACTGCTGGCAGCAGAGCTGGCTCCCAAAGCTGGCACTGGCCCATGTTTCTCTGCAGCTTCCATGGCAGCAGCTGCATCCAGGCCATGCGTGTGCTGCCTGTCCCAAAGAGCATGCAGGCGGGCCACAGTTGTGCTGCTCCTCAGGAAGGTGTGAGGTCTTATTTCTGACTTCAGAAGCAGCTGGAAGCAGGAATTTGAATGTCTTCCAGCTGACTTTTGATATGTAAGAAGTAATCTTTGCTTTCCTTACCTGTTTCTCTCAGAAATTTGCGATGCCTTTGTGGGGCACACCATGTGTTGCCCCGCTCACAGCACTGCCTCTTGTGCTCTTTTGGGTTTGAGAGAGGCTTGCAAAGGGCATTTTGGTGCAGGCTGGTGAGCGTGGATGTCAGGAGAAGGGATGGAAGCAGCACGTCTGTCAGGTGCGAGGCAGATTGCACCATCCAATCTCCGGCTGTCGTCTGCAGCATTTGTCAGGCCTCTACTGCCCTGCTCCCTTTCATCACAGCTATCACTGGCATTCATCTAGGCTGGCAGCATTTCAACAGCTGTTAATCCTCTATGTATCTCTAAACACTGTGACCACTGACAAGCTTCTATACTCTGAGGTGTCAGAATATCTCAGGATATCTGTGGTGATGGTGGTTGGGTTTGTTGGTTTTAAATCAAGACACCTTCTAATCTATTGACCCGCACTGAAACGGATGGAGAAATCTTTGTCCCAGTGTCAGGTTTTTAATGCTGCTGCTTGATGCTCACAAATAATTTCACGTGAAATCTGATTAATTTTGATTTCCTCATGCTTGTTTTGATCAGTTTTCTGTTTTGCATGTTACTGCAAGTAGCACATGTTTCACTGAAGTTGTAAGGAATGTGGTTTAATGTCAGTGTGAGAATGAGCTGGCAGGGTTTTCTCTTTATGTTTCAATTACTTTCCCTCCAGAAATAACCCTGAGAACTCAGTCTTCTGTTATTATGTCTTCTTACTTTCTTTGCTGTATGTTCTGCAAAGGGCCTGGGCAGTGTAGTGAGGTGTAGTAGTGAGTGTTGGAGTTTCTCTGCATGTTTGCAGCCAAGGAGGAATGCTGAATTAAAATTACTCCAAATTTAGCTCTAAGTTTTATAATTGATTCCCTTTGGAAGGGAATTTTTAGCACAAGGGTGTTTTGATGAGTGGAGAGCAAGGGTATAGCAGCAAATCTGTTGTAGAAAAAGAGCAGGGTAAAGGAAAGTGGTTCTGTTGCACTTTAGGCTCTGGTTATGTATTTTTACGACTTCTTGGTGTTTTTATTATTTGCTACGACCATCATTTAATAGCAGGGAAAAATCTTTCAAACTAACATTTCTTTGCTTAGTTTGTTTGTCTTCTCTGGAGAGCTCTCTCCCCATATGACAAAGCTCTGATGTTCTGAAGTTGACTCCCCTAAGGCTCAGCTTTATTGAGAGAAGTGAAACGTTTTAGGTGGTTCATTCATTCTTTCTGTGTCTTTTGTTATTTGAGCCCTTATGGTGTCCTTTGGTCATGTTTTTAAACTTATTTCTGCAACTAAGACTGCCAGGAGCTTTATTTAATAATAGTTGAGGTCTCATGTTCAACTTTTTCTTTGTGAGCTGCCATTTTATCTCAAGCATCAAATAATGTGAAAGTAAATTAAAAGCAGCGTTCATGTCTTGTAATTTCGTGTGGAATGTTCTGTCTTTTACTGTACCACTGAATATCGTTTTATGAAGATAAAGGACTTCACTAAGACTACAGGCAGCTCAGACTTTGTTTCAAGTGCAAATACCACACCTTGATCCTGCTGAATAGCCCTTGTGTGGAGGCGACCCTGCTGAAGCTGGGGGAAGTGCTCAGGTGGTTCCTGACTTAGCTCCTTGTTTGCAGCTATATTATAAAGCCCTCCAAAGTTCTAGGCCACTGGAACATTCTCTCCTGCCATAGTGTAGTGGGTAAACTGCTGAAAATGAAGCAGATCTTCTGTTTGAAGTAGTATAGATGAGAATACTTGGAAAATTATTCTCTATTAGTAGAAGCCCCAGATCACAGAACCTGCTGTGTCTGTGCCCATGCTGAAAGGCCCTTCTCTTGCCCATTTAGCCCATTTATTTCTCATTTAATACTTAGGACAAAAGGGAATGTGGCTTTCCCAAGGTTGGAAAGGGTCTAAAGGCCAAGGAAAATGTATTTTTAAAATCTCCTTGTTGAACAAACTCAGATTTAAATTGCAGCCCCCTGTTTTTATTACTTGGGGAAGCATTTAAAGGTACTGATTCATAGCATTAGAAATATTGTTTTATTGGATTTTAGAGTTTTTGGAGGGGAAAGGTCTCGATCAACAGTTGGATCATAGGGGAGGATGTTTCCTTTTCATTTTTAAAACTCAGCAGCTTTATCTGCATGTTGAAGGTGTTCTATGCCCCTCTCAATCTTTGCATGGTGCCTGGTGGTTGCTTTGAGACCAAGCCTTTCCTCCTTCCCCTCACTGAGATTCTTGCCTCTGTTCAGGCTCTCACTTGCCTGCTTTTAGCACCTTCAGAATTCAGAACTAAAGCCTGGGTTCCTTTCCCAGCTATTTTTATCCATGTCCATCGCTGATGTTGTTGAAGATGAGCCTGACCCAAGTGCTGGGCAGTTGAACTTTAATAAAGTAGGTAAGGTTGTGCCACAACCACTTTAATCAACAGCACATCCAGCAAATGATTCTGTTGGCTATTGTCACTTCCTTCAGGTGGGTTAAACACGACCTCATGCTGGGGCTCACGTACAACAGATTTGTTCCTGTTTTCCTCTCCTCCTGCTGTTTCACTGCAGAGTGCTGCAGGCTAATAGTGTCTGATGGGACTACTTCCTATTGCCTGAAAAATGTTTAAATTTGCTACCTTGCTTTCTCTTTTTCCCACTTTCTCTCATTCTGATCTCTCAGATCCAGTCCCTTTGAGAAATCAGACAGTATGAAATATGAAAATTGCTTGGGTAGTAATTGGAGAAATGGTGAGACCTTTGAAGCCCAATGGAGATAACGCTTACATCTACTTATTCACATTATTTAATTTTTAATGGCAAATTTAATTAATGAAGCACAGGTCTTGTGGTTTCATGTGTGAATAAGTAACAGCAGGGAGCTATAAGTCATGAGGTCTGTTTACAGGCCAGAGAAAAAGGCACCATTAAAAGCTGAACTTTTCAATATAGGAAGGAGAAAAATGGATTTAATAGCATTAAAGTTTGACCACTCTGTAATAAGTAAGTAAACAAAAACATTAATGATAATTTGCTGGTAAAATGCATTTTGAAGTGGTTAGTCCTTCATGATTCCTCAGTTTAAATCTGTCTCCTAGGTCAAAATTTGAAAAGCAAAATCTGTTCTGTGTTTCTTTTGGTATGTAACATAAATTCAGGCACTAAAGATAAAACGCTTAAATATAGCACCTTGAAGCCCAGGTTCTGAAAACCTTTATAAACCTTTCAATTAGCTGAGCTTCACACAACTTCAGAGATACAGGCAGCTGTTATCCCTCACTTGCAGATGGAAAATGGTGACTTGCCCAAGATTGCACAAGTGGCAGAACCACTAATAGAACTTGAGTTATATCTGTCCTTTCCTTTTTCCAACCACTGAACAGCGTGTGTTGGCTCATCATGCGCAGGACCAGCTGCATTTATGGGAAAATAAATGAAGAAGGGCAAGAATAGTATTCTATATAAAATGACCAAATTTGGGGAGAGACGAGATAGCAGCTCGAACCGGCCCTAAATGAATAGCTGTCCTCGCTTTCAATACCATTTTGTCACTTTTTTTGATTGATTATTGCATATTTTCTGCTTGTGCCTTTTCAGAGTAAGAGCCTTGCAGATGAGCTTTGTGCCAGGCAGTTGCCAGTGGAGTCCAGGGGCTTTGCCTAAAGCAGCTTTGTCAGCAGCTTAGTGACACTGACCTGTAGTGCACTCACTGGGGGAATGCAGCCCTTCCCTCCTGCTGATTGTGCCTGGGAGGCTCCTCGGTGCAGCCCAAAGGAGGAATTCATCCTCCACATTCAGTGACTGAGCAGTTGTGAGCTAAAACTCTTTCCGTGCAAGTTCAGGAGAATTTAATGCAAACCACTTAAGCCCTGCAGCAAGACACTCAAGCCTGTGTTTGGCAGCGCCTTAGCTGAGACCTGATACACCTCCCTATGTTGTTAGAAGGGAAACAGGCTGCATAATTTTCTTTTAAAGAATAAGTAACATAAGTAGAAGCACTGAAATGTAGAATGGATTTTCCAGTGCTAGCAGCCAGTTTTGATACTTGCATGTCAGTTACTTACAAGATCCTTCACAGCAATTAATGGAAGTAGAGAACAAAACATGACCGAACTCAAAATAGCTCTGTGCTGGAAACACCTTGTTTTTGTGGTTACATGGAATAATCAAAGCTCATGGTTGGTTGATAGTGACCTTTTCCCCTTTTTTCCTTTGACAAAAGTGAGCCTTGGAATGAGGGATGTGTTATGGCCTTGATACATTTTGTTGAAAATAAAATCGACTCGTAAGTATTTCTGGCATTCTTTGAACCGAATATTCTGTTTGTTCTTGGAAATTGTTATTAATTATAGAAGATGACTTTGTGACAAGATAAGATCTGAGATGCCTTTAATTTTTAGAGCTGAGCATTCTATTCTTTGTTTCAGAATGCAGAGATCTACAAGATGACATCTGAGCAGTATCAGGAGGCAGCCGCCAAGGCAGAGGAACGGATAAAGTGAGGAACCATTTTTGTTCTTTTCAGCAGTTCCAGTTGCATTTCATAACATTTTGTGTGTGGCTTCTGGATGTTCCTGTAAACACAGTGTGAAGTTACCTCCTGTCAGGTACTGAGGGGGCTGAGGAGGTGCAAGCTGACATCTTCTCTTTCTGTGCTAAGCTTGCAGAGTTTAGTATAAGGTTGATAGATCTTGCAAGGAAGCATGAGGGAGAAGAGAGTGACTTAAAAAATTAATAATAAATAGGAATATTTACTAGGGTTTTCAAAATAGCAATGGAACATGTTTAATCTGTTCTAACTTTGACCCGTTGTACTTAACCTATACACTGTAGCACTGGGCTGGTGCATGGGGGTAGGAAGAATGGCACCACTTCTAAAGTTTTCATTGTCCAGGGGAAAACAAGATAAACAGTGTAAATCTCATCCCTGTTAGTTTCAAATTAGAGTTGTAATTTTCATGAATGTTTTCTTAGAATGGGTGCAATGATTTTTCTGTACTTTTTTATTTGCCTTAGTACAATAAGTAGACCTTTAATGTTGCCTTTTTACTGTGAGCATATATAGTGTTTAAATTATATTTGTATTTGTCAGTAGTGTTATATAACTTATTGTTCCACATGCACTAACAGCTGCCCAAGAAAAAATATTTTCTATAATTCTTAAATATTAATGAGGCTAAAGCAATTACGCTGTCAAGAGCAGCACTCGAATCTCAGTTGGGTAAACAGTTGGCCAACATGCAATAAACTGGGAGTAGCAGCATATGTAGTCCGGTTGGGTTCAATCCAGACTCTACAATACTTAATTGCATAAATAGATAATATAGTAGTGATGAATATATTAGTGGGATGTGCAGTATATTGTGCTGTCTTTATTTAAAATTATGTTTAACTGCCAAAGTGTCACATAACCTGTTGTAATTTCACGTTTTTGTTTGGACAGTCAAGCAATAAGTTGCTAAAGAAGCCAAAACAAGGCAGCTAACACATCATTTGCATTTCCATCCTGTTTTCCATAGCAGAATTTTAAATTCTCTTTTAAAATAAAATTTAAAAAATTCATAGGACATAACTTTCTTATAATCTTTAATCAATGGAATATTTTCTTGGATTTGCTTCTGCAAATGTGTGATCAGTTGTTGTGAACTTGTGTAGTGGTGATTTATCCTTGTGACTTGGTAAAGAAAGTAATTGGGACCTGGGATTGTGTTCTTCACTCACTAGTACAGCCTATAACTACCTTATTTTTTATAAGTAGTCTGAAGGTTGGTTCCTGATGTTTCAGTTTCCTTTGGTCTGTTCTGTTTCTTGTGGAAACAAAGACTGGTAATGTAGGAAGCTCAGGAGTGCAACCATTTCTTGCAAAGATTAGTGGCAGAGACCAACACAAATGCTAATGAATTCTTTCTTTCAAGATTGAGAGTGTGCTTGTGGTCTCTTAAGGGTTTCTTCCCCTTTTCTTTGAGCCTTTATCATCTAACAGTCCCTGGCTTCTGGCCTTATTGTACAGTGCTCTTGAATTTGATGGCACTGTGAACTTGAGCCATTATAAAGGAGCAGATTCCTTGGGCTGTCTTCTTTGCAGCACCTGCCCTAATGGAATTTTGTGTGAAAAAATAGCATGGCTGGAGGTATCTTGAAAAGGGACAAGGTGAGTGGCATGAGTGAAGCTGAGGGTAAAGTTGAATATCTTGCATTCTAGTTCTTCACAATAGAAATTACCAGCAGTAGCCAGGATTGCACTGAGCTGAGCTTTGGAGTTCATGGTCTGGGACTGATAATGCCCTTTGATAATTGTACATGCAGGAAGAATCATTGCTTTCCCCCATCAGCCTGCAGTGTGTCACTTCCATCAGCATGCAGTGACCCTTTTCAGATTGCTGCTTTGTGTACAGCACACTGTACAAACACTCCTGAAGCGTTCTTGTGCCTCACACCTGGGTCATGATAGGCTGGGACAGGGTCAGAGGAAAGTTCCTTCCTACACTGGCATCCATGCTCAACTGGTAGGACTTGAAGTCTGTGAGTTGTGAGGTTCTCCTGTTAGGCATCCTACATTCAAGTCATTCTACAGCCTGTTTATTGTAAGAGCCTACAAGATCCTGTGACTTCACTGGAATGAGTAGTTTGCTTATCCTCTTTTGCACTTTCGTATTAGACATGCGAGCACAGTTGGTGCTAAGATAGGTTAGACTGATTTATGCAGATCTAGTTCTTTGGTTCACAGGAATAAACTGACACTCCTGCAAAACTATGTGAAGTGGAATTTCAACCAAAGTATGAATGAAGTACAGGTCCGCCCCTTTCCAGTGCTGGACTATGATATCTCGTTAAGGAAAGGAAACCAGGAGTTGCACTTTCTCCAACTGCAGAGAGTCCAGATCCTTCACCACAGTGTCTCTTCCTGAGCTTCTGTTATCCCTGTTACACTGTGAAGACCTGCCCTTGGCACTTGTGCCCTGTGAGACCAGTCTGTATTTGTTCTCTGCCACGGTGTATCAGCAGAGCTGATGGAGGAAAAGGGAAATAGGGCTGGGGCTCTTTCCGCAGTGAGTACCCTGTTTTTCAGAGTCTGTGCCGAAGTAAAGAGAAGAAATATCTGAAACAAAACCTCAGTGTTTTCTTGGCATTTAGTGACTTTTGTAATTCTTTTATCAACACTTACAGCTCTGCACAAGTGGTCAAGCATTCCATGGACTGTTTCCACTCCTTAGTGGTTGTCAAGCATTGCAGGATTTAGGAATATTGTACACCTTTCCACCAGTGACCCTTCACAGCATGCCTGAGAGGTAGGCAAGTAAACCTTCCTGTCTCCCTTTGTATAAAAACAGAAGTGAAGTACTTAGTGCTGAGCTTCATATTAAATCACTGACACAGTCATTAGCTCTTGGTTTCCACTTCAAGGCTTGATGCCTGCATGGCCTGACTTGTGCAATGGACTTTGTTCCTCATCTCTTTACCTGAAGCCAGCCTGCTCTCATCTCCACATACCTCCTATCAGAGTGTCTCCTTCTCCTTTCTTCTGGGCTCTGTCTAACCTGTTTTATTTCCTCCCAGCAAAAAGATCTTAGCAACAAGATACCACTGAGCACAGCTTTCAGCACCTTAAGCAACTTGCTCTTGTTGCTTCTCCGCTGTGGTGAATTGGACAGTTGCCATGGACATATTGTCTCAACTATGTTGTTATAATTGGCGCATTGTTATTTTTCTCTTTTGTTAACTAACAGAATTAAAGTCAGGGGACCTAGAACATCCCCTGCCTTCTTTCCCTGTTTAGCAAACTATGCACATCAGTAACCACCCACAAAGGAAACAGTGTGTAAATAAAAAGCCAGTGCTCCCCACCCTTCCCTTCATTCCACATCCTTTTCTCAGTGTTCATAGAGCCATGACTCAGACTGGGTTTAGAGAAGACAACTTGCTAATCCCCTCCCTGCTACAGAGAATAAAATGGCATTTCATTCCAAGCTGTATTAATGCACTCGCTCCAGGGATAAAGCAGCACTCCCAAAAGGCAGTGGCCAAATTTTCTTTCTGTTGCGTTTGTCTTTGTCTTCTTTTGAGTGTTACATTTAGATTAGCTTCTGAGGATTAAATGTTATTACAGTCCCTGAATCTGGTAAGGGGAAGGAAAAAAACATCAGTAAAGAGGTTATGGCTTAGTGCAGCACTCTAGATTTATCCTCAATATGCTGGTTTGGGGTTTGGTTTTGTTGGGTTTTTTTGAGGGTTTTTTTTTTTTTTTTGTGATTTATTTTCTTTCTTGAAGGTCGTCTTATCACTTTTTAAAAAATTATTTATTTTTGTAGTTGTTACTTTTAGATGCAAGAATTGGCCTGGGTGGGGGTGTGACTCTAACAGGTAAAGCTGCAGGAGTTGGGTGAGGGGATTAGGAAGCTGTTAAAAGATAAAATTGTTCTGAGGCTGAGTTTCCCTCTGAAATCTCCCTACAGCTTTCAGAACTGTTTCTGAAGCTGCTTACTGATAACTCTGTTGCTTTGCATGTTGTGCTGAGAGGACTGCATGTGCTTTGTGCTGTTATCAAGGAGTGCATAAAGAATCTCAGTTAATCTTATCCTGGTGGAGATCAGCTGTGAATCCAAGGCAGCTTTCCAATGGAGAAACTGCCAAAGAGATTCACTCCATGTAGGACCTACTATGTGAGAGTTTCATTTAATGGTCCTAAGATCTTTAAACTTAATGGACATGAGTATTTAAAGTGATTACATTAGAGAAACCGGCAAGCAGTAAGTATCCTCCTGGCTGAATGTGGAGTAGAAAACCACACTGACTCAGTGAGGGTAGGGGAAGAAAGGTCATAGATGGATTGTCTGCTGGCAACAGGGAATGTATGGCTTGCTTTCAGTACTCATGGAAATAAAGGTTTTATTGAATTACACAAGATTTTATGAGGCTGATGGCCCCTCAGTTAGAATGGCAAGATTAACTGGAACCTAGAGAAACTACCTTTTTTTGTTTCTTTATGTAGATATGGAAAGTTTATAAAATAGTTATGTGAGTTTATATTGAGTTTGTTAATCTTGAAGTCTACTGTGAGGCTTTGGGTATTTCAACAGAGGATTGTGCCCAGGAGACAAGGTCTGAAACAGTTATTATATGGACAGTTGTGAAGCCAAAGGAGAAGGGTAAAGACATCATAGTTTTCAAACAAAATTGCTCTGGGATTTCTTCTATCATTAGATTAGATAAATGATTAATTTAGTGTTGAAATTAAGAACCTCTCCAACAGGGATTTAAGAGTTTTCAGGAGTAAGAGATTGATTATTGCTGAAAGCTTATCCATAGCCTTACCTCAGCATAGTCCTTTTGTGCCCTGCAATGATGATACCTTCACCAAGATTATTTGACTTCGTCCCAGTCCTGTTCTTCCCTTGCTGCTTGGTTTGTGCTAGCTGTTCCTTCTTCTGTCTACACTGAGTCTGTTTCATAATCTTCAAATAAAGAGATGGGTTATTAGTCAAAGCTTTTCTGTTTCTC